AACGTCCCTGGGTGAACCCGCGGCTGAGAAGAATGAATTGGGTTGAATGTTTCAAGGTGGCTTCTGGATTTTTGTAGCACACCGACTCCTTAAAGCAACTTGCTCATGACTGACGGGGAGACTAATGGGACGGTAATTTGATGCTATTGATTTATCACCCCTTTTGGAAAATCGAACTACATTTGCAAGTTTCCAAGCTTCTAAGTAATTAGGCCCGATTCTAATGACTTATTAAATACAACTGCTAATGGATTACTCAACTCATCTCTACATTCTTTTAATATTCTAGCATATACCTCGTCTGGACCAGGCGATTTATGAGGCTTCAGTTTGTTAATTTCTTTAAGCACATCGTTACTAGTAATATTGATATTCATCAACATATTTTCTATACTGTCATTATATACCTTATGAACTTCTGGAAACTGTGCTAGGTTTTCATTTGTGAATACAGAGCGAAAATGACTATTTAACGTACTACACATTTCTAACTCATCATCAGTCATTTCTCCTGTCGTAGTTTTAAGGGGACCTATTGTATCTCTAACCTTTGATTTATACAGTTGATAAAAAGCTTTGGGGTTATTTCTCTTTCGATTCGTTTGCTACCTGATTTCATAATTTCTCTTTTGCTTTCCCACTTCTGTTTTACCTGTCTTGTTAGGTTCTGATAGCAACCAAGTAAGTGATTTTCGCCTTTCTTAACTTTTCTATATACTCCTTTCTTTTTCCCTAGAAGATCTAAGAGTCTATTATTCATCCATTTTGGTTGATTCCGTATCGATCTGAATTTTCTTTTAGGGATGTGTTTATTTTGGGCATTATTGATTGTCCCAATAAATTGTTCATAAGTAGCTGCTAAATTAAATTCGGGGTTATCCCGTCCTAAGTTGACAGTTTCCAGAGGTGTGGGGGGGATTAATCTTTTGACCATTGGGTCATCCCTTAGGTCTCTCCTTAAGCTACCGTAATTAGCCTTCCTAAAATCCGGGATCAAGGCCGAATTTTCCTTCTTCCTGCCATCCCATATTATGTTAAAATATATGGCTTTATGATCACTGTTTCCTAGTTCGTCTCCAATCCCCTTTTATAGCCGCCAGGTACCGTGTGCTGATTGGGAACCAGCGTTGAATGCGTCAAGGAAGCTCTTTTGGATGTGGAGCTTGGTAGTCTTTCTGAGGTGGTTCTTGATCTGTTGCACGCTTGCTGGAACTTGAATGTATACACTTCTAGAACGCGTGGCTGCCTTGGCTGCTTCGTCTGCCATGTCATTTCCCCGATCCCTACATGACTGGGAATCCAGTGTAAGACGACTGGGCGATTTTGTCTTTGGAAGTCCTGTAGCTGTGCGAGGATCGAGGTTATGATGTGGACGTTGTCTCTTGGTTGACTGTGTTGCAGCGCCTGCATGACCGATTTCGAGTCCGTGTGAATTATGATGGACTTGTTGTGTTGTGTTGCAGCGTGTTGTAGGGCCTTTGAGATTGCTACCAACTCTGTTTGTAGGGTGGCTTGGGTAGGAGTCTGATTTTGGCTGTTTTGAATCTCGTGGGGAAGTGTCCTGTTGCTAGTGAAGCGTTAAAGATCTGTGTAAGTTGTTTTATCAGTGTTGTGGGTATGTTTTGAAGGACGGTTTTGTTTATCTGACTTAGTCCAGGTGCTTTATTTTTAAAACTGGTTGTTATGTTTGTTATGTCTTTTGTGGTGATTGGCGCGGTTAATGTGTCTGCACTGTTTAGTATGTTGAGGTCTATTGTTCTTGGTGGTTGCCATTTCTCTGTGTTTAGTGTAAGGTGTGTTGTTACCATCTGTTCTGTTACTCTACAGTAGTTTCTGTTTTCTTCTGTGATTTTATATATGTTGCACCAGAAATTTCTGAAAATCAGTTCTTTGTCTACAGATTCTGTAGCCTTTACCCCGTTGTTATCTATAAGATGGCTGTTATCTATGGAGTTAGTGCCCATTAGGTTTTTTATTTTACTCCAGAAGAGTTTTGGGTTGTGATAATCGGCCTCTGTGTTTGTGATTAGCTGGTTCCATTTGTCGTTGTGTGATTGTTTGCATATTTCTTTCAGCTCTTCCTTTAGGTTTCTGAAGAGAGTTATTGTTTCTTGGTTCCAGCCGTGTGTATTTGTGTGTTCTAGTATGTTATCAGTCTTGCCTGGATTATCTTCTGTTCGTGTGTTAATTGTGCGTAGGGTAGTGTGCGGTAAGTTGTTTTGGGGGTGTTGTTTTCCATGGCTGTGGTGACATTAGTGTACCATGTTTCCAGGGCTATGTCAATGTCTGCTGTGTTTTTGTTGTGTAGATGTATTTGTTGGTTTGTTTTGAATTGCTCTTAAAACCCTCCCAGTTTGCTCTGTTGAAAGAGAATCTAGGGATGGAGGTGATTTGTATTGGTGATGTTGATAGTGTGATGATTATGGGCAGGTGATCGCTAGTGGTGGTTGGTCCAGGTTTCATGTGTGTATTCAAATGATGGTGTCTTTGGTCAGAACTATATCCGGCTTCCCGGTGTTTCCTGCAGCTGTGTAGGTTTCGAAATCTGGGCCCAGGTGTGTTGATGTTGCCGTTTTCTAATAGGTCGTGTATTATCTTCCCCTTGGTTTTTTCTGTGTCCGAGTACTATGTGTCTCGTGTTTAAGTCTCCTATAAAATATGCTGGTGTGTTACGTCACATTAGTTTTAGTAAGACACCAGTCGGGAATGTTTGTCGTCGGCAAGGTAAATATGTTGTTCTAATTGCTATTGGGCCTTTAGTTGTGTTGATTTCGACTGCTAAGAAGTTGGTTTGGAAGTTGTCTATGAGTTTGTATTTGATGTTTCTTTTGATGGCTATTGCTGCTTCGTCGCTAAACTTCGTGTGTGTTCAGTTGATGTGTGATAGTTGGAGAGTTTTATTTTGTCATTGTTTTTCGTCCGTGTGAGTTTATGAGAATTATGTCTGGGTCTATATTGTTGTATATGTTTGTTAGTTCTGTTTTTCTTGTATGTGTCCAGGCCAGGACGTTGTGTTGTTATTTTCAGTGTTCTGTTTTGCGTAATCGTGGGTCGCGGGAACTTGGTGCGTGTTGTTTGGTTGCTCGGGTCTTCCAGGGAGAATTGTAGTGGTTCTCTCCCTACAACAGCGTAGCCGTATCCCATAGCAACGGAATTCAACCACCGGCGAGGTCTCACTGGGGCCACCTGCGATGCTTGCATCCGGGTTTACTCGGCAGCCGTGCTCAGTCTCTGTGTCATTGATATTCATTCTAATTCTACGTTCCTGAATATAACACCTCCTTCGAGAACTCCTCGCTGTCCAGCTCTCTCATTCAACCTGAGGCAACATGCAACACTCCTCTAACGAAGCTCTGCATGCTGCTACTCACCCAACGTCTTCTGGGAGCAAGCTTTCACCACACGGCATTCCAGTACCAGACTGTTTTGTATATATATTTTTAAATAAGAAAACCACCACCTAGAGTTTCATCCATCCCATCCTGAGAGGCAGAGAAACGACACATAACGTAAATCAACACACAGGACTTCTGAAAAACGTAACTATATGAAGGAGGAAACAGATCATTCTAGTCTTCAATCAGCGCCACTAAAGTACTAGCCCACATTTGAGGGTAGCCTTTACCAGTCGGTAGCTACAGACAAACAGAAATACATCGCCCTGACCTGTTCCTCGCCCAGCTAGAAGTCGCCATACAAGTTGCAGAAGCTGGTCACCAACCCTCCAGCTGACAACAATTCGCCGCTCTACGAGATGCTCTCAAAGGCGTTACCAGCGCCGCCTCGCCGCCTAGTCTCCCGTGAGAACTTGCCTGGCTTCCCGGCAATCCAACGCCCGTACGTCTTTGGGATGAGATGCGAAGACTGAACTCCGCCACACGCGAAAAGCCCGACACTATCCTACGCCAGTTTACACTCAGAAGCTCCCCGTGCTCGTCTCGTCCCTTCCGGCATACGAATTCCTCACTACTCTCGGCGATCTATGCAGCCATGCAGACAGAGTATTCCACGAATACACTGTTGTGCCATGCCGCCGCAAGTTCATCTGTGTTTAGTGGTCATACCCACTTAGCCCCCGGTTTTGTCAACCTGATCAACGCCCTCAGAGAAGTAGCATTCACCAGACAAGCAGACATCGTGGACTCGTTGCAAACTTTGAACTGCAGGATGGACACTATTGAACAGCTCTTGCCTCCGTGCCTTCTTTCTCCTGTTCTGCCCCACGTATATCCTGTGTCCCACCGACCCTACAATCCTGTCCTGCCCTCAGACCCCGCCGCCAAATTCAGCACACAACAACAAAAAATTTCAACCTTCCTGTTGGTACCATCAACGTTTTGTTGAAGCTAATTTTCGTGAGGCTCCCCTGGTAACCATATCATGCTAAACATCAACGGAGACTGGTAGATGCCATAACCTCTGACACTATGAAGCAGCACACATCACACGCTCCATTTGACCTTGACCACTTCTAATTCTAAGTGCCTGTCACGATCTACTATGGGCGGTTTCTGCATTCAAGGCTACTGCCCCACGCCAGCCTTCCCACTGCCCTGAACATATCTAATCCTGCAGGTTCTCCCGAAGGCCCACATCCGTTCATTACACCGCGAGCATCACGCCCAGCAACATTTCTGTATACCTCTTTTATCTTCAGGTACTGCTCCTGATGACCCCTGCAGCCAGCCCTAATGAATCTAGATACTCCCACCCAGCTCCCCCTGCACCTGCCGCGAGGAAGCACTCACAACCTGCCTGCACAACTTAGTCCACACAACCCTCCTCTTCTGTTTCTCCCATACAGATCCTGTGCCTCCAGACAGAGTCGTCTCCTGCAGCGGCTAACTGATCCACACCCCTGCCCGTTGTTCTCATGGGATACAACCCTGTCAGACAACAGTTCCTGTAGCGCCTGGAGGGGAGGGGAGTATTGTGAGGATCTCCTCACAACAGTGTAGCTGTATCCCATAGCAACGGAATCAACACCAGCGAGGCCTCACGGGGGTCGCCACCGTGCGATACTTTCCCAGCATCTGACAAGTCAGCTGCATTCCAATGCGACAGTATCCAAGCAACCGGCGAGTTTCAAATAGTCGCCACCTGCGATGCTTTCTGTGATCCGGGTTTATCGGCAGCCGCATATAAGCTCCTGCCTTGCCATTGATGGCCCGCCCCACCCTCATGTCTTAGTCATGCCACCTCCTTTCTGAGCAAACTCCTCATGCTGTCCAGCTCTCATCTCAACCTGAGGCTATAACACGCAACACCTCTAACGAAGCTCCAGCACGCTACTCACCCAACGTGTCTCTGAGCAGCCACCAGCTGACGCATCTCCAGCACCAGACTGTTTTGTATATACATATTTTGTTAAGAGTTCATCACTTAGTAGAGTTGTATCCCATCCCATCCTGAGTGCTGGGACACAACGACACATAACGTAACCTGCAACACATGGTGACCCCTGAAAACGTGCACCACACAGGATGAAGGAGGAACAGATCACTCTCCAGTCTCTAATCACAGCATTGAAGGACTGGCTTATCCACATTGGAGGCAGCCCATCAGCTCTACAGCTACAGCAGACAGTCAGAAGCCACATCGGCCCTGACCTGTTCCCTGCCCACAGAAGTCGCAGCCAAGCTGCAGGTCAATACCTCAACTTCCGAAAGGCTGACAACAAATTCGGGTTGCCCACGAGATGTTTTCAAAGGTGTTACCAGCGGCCCACACCAGCTTCCCGTGAGAACTATCTGGCTTCTCCTCAAGTAACTCAATGCATCGTTCCTTGGGATGAGATGAAGACTGAACAGCCACACAAACAGGCTTCCCACACTCATCCTACGCCAGCCTACACCCAGAAGCTCCCCAGAAGTTTGTCCTGTCCTCTCGGCATTGACCTCTACTACCTCGGCGATCTGTGTTACGGCAGACAGAAAACGACGAATACATCACAGCCATGCTGCTGCAAAACCATTCAGGTGGTCACACTCTATCACTTAGCCCCGGTTTTGTCAACTCCGATCAACGCCCCTGGGAGAAGTGGTATTCTAACCAGACAAGCAGACATCAGGGACCGCCGTAAACTTTGAACCGCAGGATGGGATACCATTGAACAGTGCTCTGCTCCTCCGCGCCTGCTTCTTCCTGTTCGCCCCACGCACTGCGGGTCCCACTGACCCTACACTCTGTCCTGCCCTCTAGACCCCGCCGCCAGTCTCTGTCAACAAAAATCAACCTCTGTTGGTACCATCAATCGCTTTGGTTAGTTGACGCCAGATGTCTTGCAACTACATGAAGCAACATCACGGAGACTTAGGATGCCATAACCTCCGGTACCAGAAGCAGCACATCACACGTCCCATTTGACCTTGACCACTTCACTCCTGCTACCCGTCACGATCTACGGCGGTTTCTCAGAATGGAAGGTACCATCTCTAATTGAAATACCATCCTGTAATCTCCTCCGCCAGTCTATCCACCATTGCCACTTAGAGCATCACCTGCCCACAACATTTCAGATATTCTCTTTTATCTTCAGGTACCTATCAGTTCCTGACACCCTGCAGCCAGCCCAATCTAGGATATTCCCACCCAGCTCCCTCTGCACTTGCTGTGAGGGTTCATAACCTTGCCTGCATAACCTCCTTCTCTATCCATGCAGTCTCCTTCACTTCTCCCATAGATCTGTGCTTCCAGACAGAGCCTGCCCCTGTAGCCAACTGATCACCTCTTGCCCGTTATGTTCTCTCATGTGGGATATGTCCCGCCGCACAAGTCTCCTGCAAGTCTGGAGGGGAGGGGAGTAATAGGTGATCTTCCTACAACAGCGGGAAGCTGCATCCCAGGAAGTAACGGAAATTCAAACCAACGAGCAGAGGTTCTGAGTGGGGGGGGGCCACCGCGATACTCTTCCTTACATCTGACAAGCCTAGCTGCATTCCAATGCGACAGCATCCAAGCAACCGGCGAGTTTCTCACGGGGGTCGCTTAATTGCGATGCTTTGTGTCCGGTTTACTTCCGGCAGCTGTGCATATAAGCTCTCAGTCCTGTCATTGATATTCATTCTAATTCTACGTTCCTGAATACCACCCTTTTGAGCAGCCTCGCTGTCCAGCTCTGTTCCAATTTGGAGTACAGCGCAACATCTCCTCTAACGAAGCTCCAGCACGCTACTCACCCAACGTCTTCTGAGCAAGCTTCTCACCAGGCCGGATTCAGAGGGTGTGCGGGCAGCTGCCCAGGGCCTCCACATATTACATCTGACCTGGACTTAAAGAAGCCTATACATGCATTCTTGACAGAACCATTATTTGAGTAGAGGTTTATCTGATTAATAATGCAAAGAATCATCTCTCTGTAATAACTAATAATATATTCTTTTCTGTGAAGTCTCTTGAAAATTTTGACATGTGCGGTAGTAGCTACCTCGGGTGGATGGGACCAAGTGCAAGATGTTTCTACGCCAGACCTGCGGAGGTGATCTCTGAACAGAAGCAGCAGCCAAGAAGTTATGTTACAGCCTGGATGAGATGTCGACGTCTTCTTTCTCCTTCGGTCGGCTTTGCTCTGCCTCAGGGAACGAGAGCTTCTGCCCTAATGCCGACAACTGCTGCTGATATTGACTATGAAACTACAGTCGCTGAATGCCGCATAGATTCTGGCTCAACTAATTCAACACAGAGATCGCTATATGTATTAGGATATTTAATATTAAGGTAATAAAATGGCTGCGAAGGTGTGGCCATTGGGGAAGCTAGAGGCCACGTTAAAAAAAAAAAAAAAAAAAGCTATATCAGGGCTGGTCGACTTGAAACCACATGAATGACTCCAGTCATGTCTCACTTTTGTGTGTGTGTGTGTGTGTGTGTGTTGGGAATTTGTACACTATCAATAAATATACAGTTAATTAAAAATTTCTCAATGTTCTAATTTCCTCAATATAACTGCATATGGCTTCAAAATTCTCCAAAGAAGTGTTCAAATTTCAAAATTTTCCCGGGGGGCTTACAGCGCCCCCCGGAACTCCCAGATGTTTAGGCTCGCTTCACTCGCCACCCCACCCTCTTGGGTAGTTATAATGAGGGGGGCCTCCACAAAGAGGCTGCCCATGGGCCTCCACAGGTCTAAATCCGGCACTGCTCACCACACGGCATCTCCAGCACCAGAATGTTTTGTATATAATATATTTTATATACGAAAACCGCCTCCTAGAGTTTCCACCCATCCCATCCTGAGTGCTAGACAAAACAACACAAAACGTAACCCAACAGAGTCTCTGTCTCTCTGCCTTCAGTCCTGTTCTTATTTTCTTTAATTTTGATAGGTCTACTACGCTCTCGATTTTATTATGTTTGCTGCTTATTTTTCCTCCACGTACTAGTGTTTCTATGAGTCCCTCTTCTACCCTGTTGTCTTCGTATGTGTATTTGGTTGTTCCTTCTTGAATATCTTTTAACAGTCTCTCATTTGTTACTGTTGGCTGGGAGTTGACTGAGCAAAACCTGATTCCTATGCTACCTCCGACGTAAAGTGGCAAAGTCATTTGCCACTCTACTTCATTATCATCATCATCATCTCCGGCGTCGGTTGGCCGTTGACCAGTGGTGTTCTCTCTACGTGGTCTTGCTGATATTGACTTCGCTGATTGGTCGGTTGTGTTCTCTAGGGTCTCGTAGTGTGTTGTGGTTAGTTGGGAGTGGGTTGTTTCCCTTGCAGTCTCTGCTCCTGTGCAATCTTTTTGCTGTGTTATTTTATCTTCCCTTTCTTTGCTGGTGATTCATAGACTGTTTTCGGTTATTTTTTTTAAAATGTCTGCTGATGGGGCATTGTCTGGGAAGTTTACCTGTGGTAGGTTGTTCGCTGCAAACATTTCTCTGATAGTTTTTCCGAATGTTCCCGGGTTAGCCACGTTGTTTATGTGGGCATGTATCAGTGTGGCTCGTATGGTGAAGGGTAGACCTTCACTTAGCTTCGGGTAAGTGTTTTCTGCGTTGGCTTTATCTTTGTTTTTTCTATCACTTTAGAGGTGGTGTCATTGAAACTTTGTTATTGCAGCATAGGTTTTGGTTGGGTCAGTTTCTATATGTTTGTTCGATTTTTCCTTTTCCTTCACGTCTTTGATGACGTCCTTTCTTACTGGGCATCGTGCTGCCAAAGTGCGGTGAGGTCCTTTGCAGTTCAGACATTTTGAATTTTCTTTGTCGTTACACTCCCTGAATGTGTGCCCTTCAGCCCCACATTCCGAGCAGAACTTCTCGTCTTTATTAGGGCAATTGGCTGATACATGGTTATATTGACAACATATCCAGCAAGGTGTTATGGGATAGAAATTTTCTTTTTCGATTTGGTCTTTTGAAAGGTGGTAGTGGGAGATGCAAATGCCATTTTCTAGTGCCTTCTGGGCCATGTTCTAATTCTTGTGATATATCAATTGGTGAAATGTTGGTAATGGTCTTATCCAGTCTCTTGATAACAATTGACTTCTTAGCTCTAAGCTGTGGTGGGATGGCTATTTCAAAGTTATCTCTTTTTAGTGTGTCTATCGATTCAGTCGATAACATGAGATCGACGTCCTTTTCTTCTATGCAAAGAACTATGTAAGAGTCCTTTGCTTCTATTAGAGCGGCGAATTTGATTCCTAGGCGTGCGCATAGAATTGTGCCTAACTCCTCTTTTCTTTTTTCGGATACTCCTCCCCGAAGGGAGTGCACCCGAATCCTGTTACCCGTAGTCCTGGTCATTGCTGCGTCGTTCTCGTTATCATCCGTCCGGAAAGGTGTGTTTGTATGTATGTCTGTGTGTGTGTGTGTGTGTATTGGTGAGCGTCTCCCGGTGGCCCCGTAAGGCGAACCTACTATCCTAGTGTTAAAGCTGCTCGCTTATGTGAGGCGCGAGCCAAGTGTACCTAATTTGAGGGAGGGGAGGATGAGAGATAGCAACCCCCTCCCTGGGTGGTACCCGCACGATCACGGTTACCCAGGAAGGCTCGGCGGTGGTATAGGCTCCGGCCCCCTTTCCTTTTCACAAACTCCTGGGAGGGAGGTGAAAACTTACAGGGAGGACCTGAGGACGGATACACCTCTGAGGGTGCAGGTCCCCGGCCAGAGCGAAAAGAGGAAAGACTGAGTGGAAGGGAAAGACCCCAAACCACGTCAGGACCGACAGCCGACAGCAGCCCTCCAG